ATAACAACAGTTTGTAGAGTTTCTCATCGTCTAATTGATTCAGTTGTTGTATTTATTCAATAAGCCTTTTTCGGAGTTCCAACTGCGCATCCATAACCTGTGACAATGCACATTGGTTGTCTCAAATGGCCCGCTGACCAGTTAAGGGGACCTTGGTCTCCTTCTCCGGTCAATTCAAGCAGAGCACCCAAACAAAAAGCACGCTCCGGCAAGGTTTCTATAAAACATATTTCCTGTGCCGGAGCAAAGCTTAAAAAGAGCAGACAGGGCAGGCGTTAATGATGTGCAAACCCGACCCGAAACCGAACTGACCCAACCCGAAACCGACTTCAGGTCGGGTCTTTTGCATTTACATTTTCGGGTCGGGTCGGGTCGGTTTAAACCGAAATAAACCAAAATAAACCGAAACAGTTGAAACAGTTTAAGGTGGTGCAATATTATTGACAGTCACTGTGACCCCAGCCCATTGTGTGGTGTGGCCACCGAGCGCACTATCAAGTTCCCACGGTATTAATTTCTCCAGTTGGATCGGGACTGACAGTGAAATAGATAGATTGAAACAGTTTCCATGATACCGCGCGGTGACCATGCGTTTATAAGCGGAGTTACTCTCGATCAGCCCACTGAGTAGAGCGAGAGACGATTTGCAAAAGAATTCTTGCCACGTGGGTAAGGGCAGGCACAAAAAAGTGATCACTTTGTCCAAGTCAGGTATTCAGGGGTTTTTCGAGTTTTTTCGTGTTGGGTCGGTTCGGGTCGGTTTTAATTTATTTTTTGTCGGGTCGTGTCGGGTCGGATTGAGGGAGTTAAGATCGGTTTCGGTTCGGGTTCGGTTTATATCTTTTATGTTTCGGGTCGGTTTGGCCTGCTCGACCCGACCCAATGCACATCATTAACAGGCATGGCTCGGGTACGCTATACCATACTCGGGTACTCTAGCCGCCATGCTTCAGTGGGCTCCAGTCACCCATGCCCTCCCGACACAGTGCCGAGTTCCACTGGTTGCTGGGACGGGCTACTGCACAGGCTATCAGACCGACTAGCGCTTGCTCAGCCCACGCGGCTTGAGACGCTGTCAGCCGGGTATGCTATGAGCTACGCCATACCCCGGCACTTCCCCGAGCACGGGGCAGCCCGAGGGGAATAGCCGCCACGCTTCAGTGTGCTCTAGTCACCCGTGTCCTCCCGACACAGTGCCAAGTACCACTGGTGGCCGGGACGGGCTATTGCATGGGCTATCGGAACGGCCAGCGCTCGCTCAGCCCACGGTGCCTGAGGCATTGGTGGGTTATGCTATGAGCGATGTGGAGCTGTTCGCCCGGGGATACCCCGGCCCGACGGCCCCCATTCTATTTCGCTCTGAGGGACCATTCTCGTCATCGGATTTTTTTCTATTGTTCGGGGGTCCTGGTGCCCCAGGGGTCTTCTGGCATTTCCTCTGACACAACCCGGGGCCGTTCTTCAAAGAAGTCAAAGAAGGCTGATCGCTGATCAGCAGGCTTCTCATGACACATTTTTGTTGTGACAACCGTGCCATACCAACAGGCTTCTCACAACGCATTTTGTCATGACGAACCTGCCATATTGGCGGGGTTTACGTGTTGTGTTACGTGCCCCAGTGAAAGAACAATAGCATCTCGCATGATCCACCGCCTTGACGGTGCTAGTCTATGCAAAAGTAGTATTGCTCTACAGGTAAGTAGAGTGAAGTAGACTCCCCCCACAGAAGTGTGGTTGGGGTCTACGAGTGAATACTTACCTGTAGAGCATCCCTCCCTCCTACCTCACTCTTCTCGACGCCATGAGTACATTTTGTATTCCAACTTACTGCTCGAGAAAAGAGGACGCTCATGAGGCATACATGCCATGGGGAATTATGGGTAGAACATAATTGTATTGTAGGGCGCTATTGTGTAATACTCTTAGCGGAAAATACCTGCCGGTCTAGGGAATATGCAAAAGTAGTATTGCTCTACAGGTAAGTATTCGCTCGTAGACCCCAACCACACTTCTGTGGGGGGGATTTCTTGAAGAAATACAATATCCGGGCTGTGACAAGAAAGTTGATTTACTGCTGGAGGGCAGTATTTTTGATTGGGCTAGAGCATCCTCCTGTATTGATTGTTACAAGGAAGATTGCCATGACAACATGAAAAAAAGTGCATGTTTATTTTCATTTGGGGATCAGGTGTGAGCTGTCTCGGTCACCCAAACTTTGATCAGTTTATGTATCCCCATCTGCATGTTCTCTTTAAGCAGGGGGAATTACCTAAGGGCTGAATGTTTGACCAAACCCGGCATATCACTGGAGAATTTTTTGGCGATATCTCCAGGTTTCTTTCAAGTTTTGACACTAGACAAGAAGTGCGACATTTGTTTGTTGTTGAGATGGCCTGCGGAGAGTGACAAGTCACATTCTTTGTCATCTTTGTTGAGTTGGGAGCTGGGAGCTGAAATCGTTGACATCGAGTTGTTCATCTCAGTGACGCTAACACACGTTGTTTGTGGAGATGGATCCTTCTGAGATGGTTACGGTGAAAAGAATACTTGGAATTAAAGCCTGTGAGAGAGTTGGGTTTTTAACGTGTTCAGGCCTGGATGGCTTGGCAACCTATTTAGGAGGAGATACGGCCATAAGTTTGATTAGTCCCTTGCAGGGCGGAGATGAGGATGTCTTCTTTCGCTTCACAACAACTTCCGAGAAGGGCGTTCTTGAGGGGCCGGGGGAGAGCCCCAAACACTGATATTTTCAGTTGGTTTGGAAGCGACAGGTTTGGGAGGGGCTGGTGCTTGTGGAGATGGTGGTTCAAGGGGGAGAGAAAGGGTTGAAGATGGGGATAGTGGATGTTATGAGAGGAATGGTTCAAGATGTGAGATAGGTGGAGGTAAGGTAGGAAGGAGTGGTGTGGAGGGAGGGGGAGGTGATAAGGAGAGTGGTCGTACCTCATTATCATAGGATCAGTTGGAGTTAACCTGAGGAGTTTTAGAGGACTTTGATCGATGTTTACGGTCTAATTTTTTTGGATTGCATGAAAACCGAGGGAGGATTAAATGGATTGTTGTCAGTATTAGCCCGATTATCTTTGTTGTCTTCGTTAAGAGGGTTCTGACAATGCTCTCTTGTATGGCCGCTTTCTCCGCAAGCAAAACACTTCACAACATTGTTGGACAAATATACCCTGTATTTCCCACCTACGTGGAAAATATTGATATGGTTTGGGATATATATGTTTCTGTCAATGAGTACGTGTACCTGACATCGAAACGACAAAACGTTAGAAAAATTATCTTTCATGCCATGATAAGGGACGCTATATTACAAAGACTGCTAATATTATCAGCAAAAACATGATCAAGTAACTCTGGATAAACATTCAAAAGAACTAACCCAGTTGTTTGATGTACTAGGGGAATAATGTCAACCAGATAATTATTCACAACCATACCGTTCAACACAACTTCCTCTGCAAATGTTCTGTTTTCAAAGTACATGGCAATACGGTTGCCAACGATTCTTGAAGCAAACAAGATTGCTTTGGCAGGTACGGACTTGGCCATTTCGTTCACATAAAACGACAGTGGAGTTTCTTCTTTCCCTTCAAAAACTACTTCATTGTTACAGCATAGTCTCTGGAACAAACATGTATTGTTATGCCAAATAGGACTATTGTTGTATTATTGTTTCTTGCTATGTGCATGCCTGTTCTCCCCCCTCGACCTGCCATAATGGCATTGGTCTGTGTGGGAGAGATTCAACACACACGACACAAGTCTAACCTGCCAAAATACCTCAAGAATATACAAGAAAATCTCAGAATGTAACACATACACCAGCATAACTACAATACACTCACATCAAATAACCAGAGCCTAAAAATACAAGCACACTATCAGAAAGAAAGAAAGAAAGAAAAAATATTAATGAGAACCATTCCAGACAGTGGTCCGGCACAACCCAACCACTCAATTAATCGTAAAAACTCAAAAGGATCATAGGTTACACTTGTTGCATGAGTTTGAAAGTACCCCTTTACAATGATATCGGTGATTGTAAAAGTAAAGTGTGCTTCCCTTGCCAGGAAGTATGTTAGAATCTGGAAAGGGTCATGTACATTTTTGTCATAATCCCTTCTCTCCCCCCCCCCCCCCCAAAAAAGTACTGGTACCTGTACTTGCCATTTCTAGTTGGGTATATTATAGTATACAAATATTGAATGCTTCGAGTGGAGTAGTAAAACTAGCCTCCCGAGGTGATCCATGGACATTCTATTTTCCCGAGGCGAAGCCGAGGGAAAATAAAATGCTCCATGGATCACCGAGGGAGGCTAGTTTTACTTCACCACGAGATAAAGCATTCAATATTTGTTTTATAACACTTCACCCACAGATTCTGCTTGGTTTTAATATTTTAAATTATTTAAATCTGAACACAGTTGAAATAAACTTCAATTTCAATACAAAATTGGTGGAAAATGTATTTCTCTCTTCCAAACCTCCCCTTCGCGAAATGTTTGAACCCAACTCTGTGGCGCGCTCTCTTTGGAACAAAACGCGCAACACGCTCACCAGCATGCATTTGCACACAAATACCGCGCCGTGGAAATAGTACTTTGGTTGCTAATGGTATTGTACGGTACTTTTGGCCGTGCACAGAAAGATAGCAAAAATAGAAAGTATCATGTGACTCACTCGCGGCCAATCAAGACACAGAATCTGCGGGTGAGGTGTTATAACACCTTCTATTGTTGCACAATCACTTTCTGTCCACAAGGAAAACAACTGAACCTGACATTGTTCCCGTACATTTTAATTTTATTATTTCATATGTGAAGTGTACGTGTATGAAGGAACCAGGTTGCATCTTGCCCATGTATTCCCTTGGCTTTGTCTAAGGGGTGATCCAGATTGAATTCTGTCAAATCTATTTGTACAAATAACGTCAAAGTACAAAAAAAAATATTACTAATAATAATAATAAATGATTTTATCTTTTGCAGCTAATTGAGTATTTGCCTGGATATTGTTCTTTGTTCGTGGCAGTCAAAGGAGAATTTGAACGCTGCATACAAACCATCAGACGAGGAAATCAGGAAGCCCTTTATCTTTCGGGAAAAGTCAAATGCATGGCGGCTGAACAAACAACATTGAGTTACTTTGCCAAACGGGTTGACCAGCTGAAGCAAATGTAAGTTGATTTCTAAATACATTTTGAATAATCTTGGTTATCGTCCTCCGAAGTCATGGTTGGCAAAGGAAAAAACTTAATTCTTTGGTTTTGTTTTGCTTTTTTTGGTAAATTGTTAACACTATAATTCCATTACAGAAAACATCTTACCTCTGTTTACCTACATTTGCATATCAGCGCGCATGCGCACAAACATTCGCTGAAAAGAATAGCGCCCAAGCCTCACCCTCTGCGCCCACTACATGTCCCTTAAATTGCCCTGTTACACGCAGACGACTCCTAGTTTTTTTAGCGACGCATAGCGTCAACACGTACAATTTAAACGTACTCGTTGTGCCTGTAAAACCATGGCGGACTTCGCCAAAAATAGTAAAACTGTTACTGTTAGTTCAAGTCATTCTTGTGAAGGAAATTAAATCACCCTCCATGATCCAACACTCCAAGCATGATATTTCAGCCACTACGACCTGGTCTAATCCACGGGTTCCACTGTAGGAAATACCCCGAGAACAGACACTTCTCTCCAGCGAAAGTCACTGCAAGATTCCCGGAAAATCCCGCCACTACGACCGGGTCGCATCCCTGGGTTCGACGGTATGAAATACCCTGGGAACAGGCACTTCTCTCCAGCGTGAGTCACTGCAAGATTCCTGAAAAATCTCACACATTGGACAGTCTACAACAGCACATGCAAGAATCAGAGATTGTCACTCATGTGCTTGCTGGTAGGCGAGGCTTGGCATTCGATACCCATAGGTCCCTCAGTAATTCGACCAGCCCGCCCGGTCACAGAGGCGGGGCACCACCCGACCACCGCCATCTTCATCTAAAATACAAGGAATAAAGTTTGATGTACTTTTATTGTGAACACTGGATTTAAATGAACTGAAATGTTAAATTTTGAGAAACTTAACAAGGTGGGATTTCTTTACACTCTTTGAAGGATTTTGGGGTTCCTTTTTAACTCCGAGACAAAGATTCCATTCTACCGTGGATTTTTCATCCAATGTACGCACCGCCATGGTGTTTTCTCAACATAGACTCCGGTTAATCTAACCAACTGCTCGATCCTCTTTGGACGTTCGGGCCGATTGGATTGTGATTACTTCATTATTCATTGGAGTCGTCTCCGATTTTCGAAATTGCCTTCTGGGTTTTCTCTTTTAAAGGGAGTATACATCATTTGCTTTTGCTGTAATTTTCAGAAATGGATGGAATTGGGGGGTTGGAAATATATAGCAAATATAGTTACACTGACTTTTTGGAGGTTTTGGGTTCGAAAATGCTATAAAAAGCAAGAAAAACGATCATTTTCCTGTAGTCTGGTTCCCTGACTCCATATAAGAAGAAACAGAGCAGTTTACATACATTGGGGAATTGTAAGGTCAGGGAACCAGCCTAGCTGGCCCGTACCCGTTCATAGGTTTGTAATCGATTGCAAACAGGTGCAATGGTCAATTGGGGCCAGTATTTGGAAAAAAAGCCAGTTGTTTCCAACGCTGATCGGCCGATCAGCGTTGGAAATTGATACAAAAATACCACTTTTCTTGAAAATGACAGTATACCAGGTGCCATAATTTTACAGGATGCTTTAGACTGTCATTTACCAACATCCTATTAAGGTATTTCGCAAAAACTTGGTAGTTTTATTTTTCGATGTTTGCAAATGTTGTATATTCCCTTTAATTCCATTTATTCAGTGAATTTGTGATAACAGCCTTTCCATTAGCAGCACTCGACCGGCTAAGGGTAATAGCTTTCAGTTTTTCCATCCTTGACAGTGGGTTGGTCCTCTTGAGCATGTTCATAATACAGGCTCACATGTATCTACGCTCAAGCTACCTTTGGATAGTATGTTGCAACCTGATGCCACTTTTAGTTTGAGATCATTTACAAGATTGTTAAAAAAAAATTAAAAAAAAGTCTTGACTCTCCATAGACTTGTACTCAAACGTTACTGCCGTCTGGATGCTGCATTCTTTCCCTGCTTCTTCCCAATAGATACAATTGTGTTGGGGAATGTCATGAATGAGACTTCCTTCTACAGATTCCTTGATATTCTATCACTTGAATAACTTGCTCAGCTGACCTGTTTATATTCATTAGCCTGTTGGGATGGTTTGTTGATTATTATAATAGACCAAGGATTACTGCCTTACTTTTCAATCCATCTATGACACGGGACCTTCACAGAATATTCCTTTGTCTGGTGCCCTTGCAAGTTACCATGATATCTCTCTACACTGATGCAGTTTTTATTGGAGATTTTATCATTCTGCTTTATTGTTGGAATTGCAGTGGGACTTGTTGCAAATTCTGGCTATATGGCATTCTTGTCTTGGATGAATGTTTCTATTGCATAGTGTCAGGTTAAATGGCAAGACTATGGTGCAGGATTCCATACTTCGAGATAAGTTAATCCTCATCGGTGCTTAGCATGCATTTACATCTTCTACGTCGGTCTCCAACCGGGTCTCAAACCAGCATGATTCTACTGACTGAGATTAATTTCTTCAGCCAGGAGTTTTGTAGACCGGTCTTCTTCTTCATCCTTAGCTTACAGCAGAATCTTGACATATCTTCACTGCTTCGAGTCTTTAGAACAAGTATTTGTCCTACAGAGTCTGGCTAGACGTGGTTTTATGTAACTTCATAAGGGGTTTGTCAGACACTTCTTCAAAGCATTGTCTGGAATTCTTATCTAACTCGGTTCTCCCTGACCACGAGCTTCTGCCTCAACATACACTTGTTTGTTGCTTTAGAGAAGGATATCTTTCCTAAAGGAATGATCTAGATCAGGATACTTCCAACTGGATCGCGTTTCGGCTTACTTCACCTTTTTTTCTCAGTCGGTAGCAGTCTGACATACGGCGACTCATTATCAAACTTTGACATGCAGCAAAAGAATTCAGATGAAAATGCTTTCTACTTCCCTCCAGTCTCTGAAGACAGGTTGGTTTGCTGCTTCCATCAATCATTGGGATACTAATACCCATACGTGGATCATCAGAAGTTGGAGTTCCGCATACCTACAGGGTTTCGCTACAGACCTTTTGGATTTTCACAGCTCCTTTGGATCTTTATAAGAATCACTGTTGTTGTGGAAACATTCTTTTTACAGCAAAACAGATCAATTTGCTCTTGTACTTAGATGATAAGCTATAACAGACCTTACATGTATCTCCAGTATAGCCTTTAACAACAGTCTGCCTAACTCGCACTTGATGTTGTTTGCCATCTTCAGTATCAAGCTCCTTCACGACAGTTGACCTACCTTGAAACATTTCCAACTTTGTTTCAGGCATTACTGGGGAACGTTAGACACAACGTGATGGCATCAGAACCTTCTGGCATCTTGATGATAGACCTAGTTCCCTGGTGCATGACACACAGGCGCTCTGAGCAGCCTTTCCTTGTCTTCCCATCTAGGCTAAGATTCATCTCCAAAGGGATTCCAGTTACCCATCTTAGCTATGACTTACTGCACTGATGGCCTTTTCAGGACAATGTGCTGGGTAACTACATCTTCTACCATCGCAATGGGTACCTCGGACAGGGTTTCAGATTCCATCTGGATGGTTAGTACCAAGCACTTGGCCAACTAAAGAGAGCCATTTGCATTCCTTCAACCAGAGCTATTGACAGTGCTCAAGGCCTTGCATTTGCTCATATCCAAAGTCCTAATCAAGCTTGTCTTGGTCCAGATGGACAATTCCACAGTTCAGATGTAGTGTACTACATGCTTTGTCCGGGGAACTCACTCTTTCTGCCTGGCTGCCCACTTCAGAGCCACCCAGTTGGCTGTTCCTTCTAACGTTCCTCCTGGCCAGAAAGAAGGTATTGAATTCACTTCAACAGAATAATTTCTTCTCCGATCAGTATTCAGATAAAGGTCCTCAACATTCTCAGAATGCTACCGTTACTTGCACCTATCTACATGTATTTGCATCCCTTCCAGGCTACCAGCTTCCAACTCCAGCCTTTCGCCAAGTTTATACTCATCCTATGGTCCTCTGGTCTAGAGGAATCCTTCAGCTTCAACGCGACAGGATTCACACATTTGATGGACAGAGTTATGAAAATAATTGTAACACTCATACATGTAGCTCCTTTCTGGCCACAGCAGCCATAATCCCTTTACTCCTGGACCACCTTGGTCTCACAACAATAATTCTACACGCATACACAGCTACATGTACTCTCCATCTTGTACCTGGATGCTTTCATTATCTGAAGCTACAGTCTTTACAGTCAGAAGCAAGTTGATTCCCCATGGGGTATGATAGTAGCTGCCAATCCCAATCTGCATCTGCACCATCATTTGGGATTTCGCTGACAATATTCCACACCAGTTTCAGATATATATCTACTGTCCGGGGTTTCCGACGAGCCATAATTGTAGTCCTCTATCAGGGTTCCAATGATAGATCTTCAGTTTCCTCAAAATCACTCTGATGCACAGCAGGTTTATCAGTTGACCTCCTTCTGTTAAGTACCGGTAGATAGGCCTAGCATCTTGGATCCAAGTACTGTCCAAGTACTGTACTGTCCATGTACTGTACTGTCCTCACTGGCTGCTGCAGTAGCTTGCCTTAAGAAGGGAATTTCACTAATTTACCAGGTCTTATTAGCCATGGGCACATGACCACATTTACTTTATCCCATAGGTGAAGTTCAACACATGGAATAAATCAACTTATTACCAGACCAGATATTTCCGGCCAAGTTGACTTCCTCTTCATTAGTAGCAGAGGATATGGTGGTGCCCCATGCGAGCTCTTTAGAACTACATTGCTCGCACTGAGCCTTCAAGAGGCTTCATCATCAAGCAAATGCTCGTACAGTCATCTAGCATCATCTTCAAGCCTCTGTGACCATGATCGCTCGATTGTCGGTGCCACCATAGAGTGCCCTCCCGAAATCGAGGATCAAAATCTCAAGCTCAGGAAACACTCAGCGTGACAACTTCCTGAACTCAACTGCTTGGAACTTCGTTTTCA